GGGCTGGTATTGACAAGAACGGTGGAAGCTTTGATGGGGGAGAGGCTAATTTTTGGAATTAATTCCTATTTTGCATTTTATTCTCAAGGCCCTGAGTCATTCTATAGTTTTGGTAGCAGTCACCTAAAAGCATCATTCGAGGAAGTTATTGTTTTCATACTTGATCGTGGCAATTATGTGGGGAATGGTAGCTTGCAAGAGCTTGTACAGTATCAGTGGCCACTTAAGCATGTGATGTGCAGAATGACAGAACAGTCAATTGGATTAGTCAAGCGCTTTAGTAGCTTCCATAACTGGTGCAAAAATTTTGGCATGTCATATGCTTCTTGGGGCTTCCTTAATGAGACCTTGTCCAGTGGATACTCTTTGCAAATGGGTGAAGTTAATTGCATCTTACTGAATTGTTCTTACTTGGTCGTGTTTATATGGTGGCTAGAAGGTAAGATTTTCCACAACGATATTCAACTCTTACCTGGGGACAGTTCTAGTATGTTAGCGCATGGGCATGTGGAAGATTTGTCTTGGGTTATGCCTATTGAATCTCTTGAAGTTATGTGTTGGACTCAAGAGGAAACTCTCAATTTTCAAATTATAGCCTTGATGCAGAAATTCAATGAAAGTTTTGGGAAAACTCAAATCTCAGGCAAGAAGCTGGATTTCCTCACTCTACTGACTATTGTTGTACGCACTGAGCTTCCCGCTATTTCTTCACAAATGACTACAGCTGTTCCACATGGAAAAATGGTGGATAGAGGTAGGACAGCAAAATTAAAAAGTGTTCCAATGGTCAGTCATCTATTGGAAAATCCCATCTGGAAGGACTTTTCACATTTTATTGCTTCAATACATGAAATTCCATACATGGAGCAATGATTCATCTAATTATGGAAATGCAACATCAGTACTCTCTTTTGATTTGCAGCAGCTATTTTCCACTTTTCCTAATGAGACTTATGTTGAATATTTGAAACTGGATGTGGCTCATGGAAACTGGTTCATGGACTTTGAAGAACCTAAAGCTGCTCAAATTGGGCAATCTGTTTACAAGGCTACTGTGGGTGATTTAACAACAACTACAATGGAACAGAACAAAGCAAAAGGAGAACATCTGGAGCAGTTAGAAGTGCTGTTCCCAGACCCAGGTATACCAGAAACCCATGCCTTATTTACCACATATCAACATGCTCCAGACCTTCGTCCTAAAATCCTCAGCTCCATGTCCATG